ACAACACAGGACACAAGTCCACAGTGACAACACAGGACACAAGTCCACAGTGACAACACAGGACACAAGTCCACAGTAACAACACAGGACACAAGTCCACAGTAGCAACATAGGACACAAGTCCACAGTAACAATACAGGACACGAGTCCACAGTGACAACAAAAGACTCAAGTCAACAGTGACAACATCGGACACAAGTCATCAGTGACAACACAGGACACAAATCCTCAGTGACAAAACAGGGCACACATCATCAGTGACAACACAGGACACAACACAACTTTGACAACACAGGACACAACACAACAATGACAACACTGGACATGAGTCCACAGTGACAACACAGGACACTAAACAACAGTGACAACACATGTCACAACACAACAGTAACAACACAGGACACGAGTCCACAGTGACAACACAGGACACTACACAACAGTGACAACACATGTCAAAACACAACAGTAACAACACAGGACACGAGTCCACAGTGACAACACAGGACACTACACAACAGTGACAACACAACAATGACAACACAGGACACAACACAACAGTGACAACACATGTCACAACACAACAGTAACAACACAGGACACAAGTCCACAGCGACAATACAGGACACAAGTCCTCAGTTACAATACAGGACACTACACAACAGTGACAACACAACAATGACACCACAGGACACAACACAACAGTGAAAACACATGTCACAACACAACAGTAACAACACAGGACACGAGTCCACAGTGACAACACAGGACACTACACAACAGTGACAACACAGGACACAACACAACAGTGACAACACATGTCACAACACAACAGTAACAACACAGGACACAAGTCCACAGTGACAATACAGGACACAAGTCCACAGTGACAACATAGGTCGCAAATCCACAGTGACAATACAGGACACAAGTCCACAGTGACAATACAGGACACAAGTCCACAGTAACAATACAGGACACAAGTCATCAGTGACAACACAGGACACAAGTCCACAGTGACAACACAGGACACAAGTCCACAGTAACAATACAGGACACAAGTCCACAGTAACAACACAGGACACAAGTCCACAGTGACAACACAGGACACAAGTCCACAGTGACAACACAGGACACAAGTCCACAGTAACAACACAGGACACAAGTCCACAGTAACAACACAGGACACAAGTCCACAGTGACAACACAGGACACAAGTCCACAGTGACAACACAGGACACAAGTCCACAGTAACAACACAGGACACAAGTCCACAGTAACAATACAGGACACGAGTCCACAGTGACCACACAGAAAACAAGTCCTCAGTGACAACATAGGTCGCAAATCCACATTGACATCACAGGACAGAATACAACAGTGACAACACAGGACACAAGTTCTGAGTGACATTTTTCCACAGGTCAACCTTACCTCAACCATGAGTTTGGTTCCTTTCAGCAAAACCATCATTTGTTTGTTTGCCAACTGTGATGAGAGTTCCATACAAAGAACATTTGTCTTTGTCCAACTCGCTCTCATCATGTATTCCTCCTGGGTTAAATCAAAAGTTCATGTAACAAGTACATGACTGATAGGATTCTTAGTTTTTTTTACCATTACATGACTGTAAAGATCCAAAGTTTGTTTCACAGTTTGACAATTATAAAGATCCTAAGTTTGTTTCACAGTTTGACAATTATAAAGATCCTAAGTTTGTTTCACAGTTTGACAATTATAAAGATCCTAAGATTGTTTCACAGTTTGACAATTATAAAGATCCTAAGATTGTTTCACAGTTTGATGATTGTTTAGATCCTAATTTTGTGATCCTAAGTTTGTTTCACAGTTTGATGATTGTTTAGATCCTAGGGTTGGTGATCCTAATTTTGTGATCCTAAGTTTGTTTCACAGTTTGAGGATTGTAAAGATCCTAAGTTTGTTTCATTGTAGTGTAACGGTTCCCGTCCTTCATCCTCCACCGTTGTCCTTCCGGGTTCTAGCGTAAAGTGACGTTTGATATCTTTGGAGTCTGTAGTGTAACAAAATACCCAACACTCAACTGACAGTTTTCAACATTTATTAGCACTGGCAACATTTACAACAACGTTTAGGAATAGTGCAACTTATAATGTGAGTACCCGATTACATTCTGCGCCGGGGTTAGCGTCAGTGACGTTCACTCGGTGCCATGAGGAGGATCCAACCAGAGGCTCTGGCATTCCCAAACGCCCCTGCGCGTACCTGGCAAAAACCTGTGCCCACCCGCCGACGTCAACACTCTGCCGTTCCGGTCCGGAGGTTTTCCTCACATCACCGAGTGTTTAGCTCTATTGTCTCCCTCACCTGAGTATCACTCGCTGGTCACTGGTCCGCTCTCCCAGAGAGTGAGACCGGCCCATGGCCAGCTGTATATATATGCATGAATGAACCCACATAATAAGACGCAATCCTTCACACGTAACAATACAAGTAACACACATTTGGTACAAATACAGGTAAAAACTAGCATACATTACAGTAGGATGTCTATAAATGTATTGTATTTGTAAATGATTTCCCAAGATCAGTATCACAATTTTTGAATCACCAGAACATAAAAACTGTGGAATGAAGAATTATGATGAAAGTGTGTAACTGAGACTTCCATGTACAGCCTGATGACAAGGCTTTTTCTTGCTTTGTTGTTCTGTAACGAAAGAAAACATTTTTTTTGTTATCTGGTCCTCAACAATAACTTTACATTACTGTATTGAAATAATAAATGATGAACCAAATTCAGACTGTCACAGTTTAAATTTTAAAATTTTAATCGGACTGAAGACACTCTTTATCTAGGCAAGAATACAAACTGTATGTGGATGGTTGAGATATGTGAAACGTTGATAACTGATGACGTCTCAGTCCAGGTGGTAGTTTCAGGTGTCATAGTGGTGCTGTCTAAAATAGAAGAATGAAACAATTACTTCATTTGAACTTATTTGTGCAGTTAACACAAGTAAACAAAAGGTAAGCTAATGTAAACAAGGCATCGCAGATGATTTAAATACCCTAACACTTCAAAGTCATACAAAATGTGGTCAGGTGTTGCAGTGGATAGCGCACTTGCCTTTCACCAAGGCGGCCGGGGTTCAATTCCCCGATCGGACGTGAAAAGGTTGGGGTCACCTGCCTGACCACGTGGGTTTTCTCCGGGTACTCCGGTTTCCTCCCACACTAAGACCCCCCACGCGCTAACATCCGGACCAACAAAAGTGATTAATATAAGTTGAAATAACTTGTTTCATAATTGTTGTAAAATACATAAAGTTTATATTTTATTATATTTTGTATTTTAAAGTCATACAAAATACTAAGTTTTTGACTCAAGAAGCTAGGTTGAAACATAAACTTGTACAAGAGGTGATGTTTGTGAATATGTGTGTTAAGTTTTGTGATGATCAGAAAAGAAATGAAGTCTGTTAAGCAATTTCTATCAAATTTTATTTACAGTTACAGTGACCTACTTTAGACTGCATGCAAACCTGTAGAAGAGGTGACGTTTTTGGAGATGTTGGTGAAGTTTCGATGCAAATGGAAAAGAAATGAAGATTGTAGACCGGTGAAGTCAAAAATTGTATCAAATGCTATTTATAGTGACAGTGACCTAGTTTTTGACTGCAGAAGGTTGAAACACACACTCGTACAAGAGGTGATGTTTGTGAACACGTGTGAAGTTTCATGACAATCGGGTTAAAGTCTGTAGAGTGGTGATACCGTTTGAGACACATGTGTATGGTCGAATACATGTACGGGCTAATCCCCATATATCCTCATTTACTCATGGTACGAGGGTATAATTCAATCTGTGAAATCAAAATATTTGTGTAAACCAGTCTTACAACTAGGTCTTACTATATACATATCTATGTTAATTGTAAAACCAGTGTAAACAGACCAGTTCTAAAAGAAGGTCCAACTGTATACATTTCTATGTGAACAGAGCCTGTGTAATCAGAAAACCTGTATAAACCATCTATGTCTCAATTAAAAGTTTTTTTGTTTTTTTATAAAAAAGCTTTCCAGAAATAAACTGTCCTAACTTGACATTGTTCAGATCTATAAAGTATGCCATTTTCAGAGAAATCGTACATTCTCCATACCTTTTACTGTTGTCATGTCAACAGTTTCCTCCACCAATGGACATACAGCTTCTTTACTATCAGGACACTTCACGTAACCATGGTAACCGGGCACCTATCAGAACAGAGAGAATGAAAGTAACAGTCAAGCATCAACCAGTAAATTGTTAAAACAGACACAAACATATACTGGAGTTGAGTAAGTAACCAAACTTCCTGCTAAGTGGTACATACTATGCCATCACACATTGCATAAGTTGAGTTGTTTGCATCACTGAAAACATGAAATATTTGTGAGTCATTGATGTTAAAGGAGAAATATTTCAACACACCTGGTAGATCAATGAGTGCAATAAAACATCTAGGAATGAATGAAGTCTGTATTAGAGAAACTTAGTCTATCAATTATGGTCAGATAATTGTGATTACATTCACACCACTGATTCAGGGGGTATAACTACCTTTACAGTATATGTAGTTAATCCATTGTAAATTACTCGAGACATCGAGCAGACACTTCTTCTGTTTTAAAGGGGCATAACTCAGTAGATTACAGTCAGATATTAATTGTTATTTAACTTGTCTGAGCTCTCATGGTAGTTAACCTTCTCATGAAGTTAATTGTTTAAAATTGCTTGAGCTATCAACCGAACACTGTTTCAGCAATTTATGAAAGGGTCCTAGTGCTCCTAACTCAGTAAATTAGTCAGATAATGGTGGGAATCAATTTTGTCCATAGCGTTTTACCTTCCCATAAAGTGTGAATTTAATCTGTTACAAGTTACTCAAGATATTGAGTGGACTTTTTTTTTTAACAAATTTGTAAAGGGGCATAACTTATAACTCCCTGCATAACTATAAATTATGGTGAGATAATGGTGGTTATCGAACTTGTCCAAGCTTTCATGGTAATTAACCTTTCCATGAAGATGGAGGTTTATAGATTGAAAATTACTCACGAATGTGCTGAAAATCCAAAATGTTCTACTAAAAACATCACAGGTTTACTGTTTGCATTGTAGACAATTTTCAGAAACAAGAGGCCTTAACGGTCACCTGAGTGGGGTTGATGAAGCAAAACCTGTGAGAGCGATTCAGCGGGTTATAATCTTTTAAGAACTAAAACACACAGACAACTGAATTCATGTTTATTTTCATGACACACAAGTATTTCACTGAAATGGAAAATGTGCTAGGATCAGTATATATACTACAAAGTGAAGATGTTTCAACAGATTTAAAAATACATGTGTATCAGTACAGGAGGATATATCACGTTGGTTTCACTTTTAGTACTAACAGATTCATGTGACCATTGCAACTATCAGTGTCAACGACAAATGAACAACTTTTCCATGAACTTGATGAAACAAACACCATTGTAGCATAAGCTCAATGTTACAGCACCCAGCAGAAACACAGTTATAAATCAATACAATATTTGTTTGTAAATGTTTCAGTTTGGCATTAAATAAGTTTGAAACCTATACCGGTAATTCATGATATTTGGTTGAAATTGTGTATCTGTTCAAAACATGGCTCTGCCATTTTACCTTGAGTTCTGGAAGTGATGACACTGCTGAATGCAATTGATTTGAAAGAAAGAATTTCAGCTGTTTCAAACTGATAAGAACATTTTAACATTAATTAATTAAAAAAACAAAGAAATAATAACTTAATTTGAATATTGTTGAAAATCCCCCGATAAGTTTGCGAAAATATGTTTTTGGAACATTTTGCACTGTCACCACCAGTTTCATTAAACTCTGACAGACAGTTTTTGAGAAGAAATCTAAAATGTAATTGTATAAGGTACAACACTAACTAACCTCCTTATGATCCTCAGCATATAAGGATTATTTTATGTGATGTTGGTCAAAATCCACCAGTAAATTTTAGAGAAGATATTTTTTTGAAGATTTGAATACAGTGACTCCATATGGCTCCACCCCTCAGCTACCTAGGGCATCAGCCCCTTCTCAAGCATTAATTCTGATCCTCATCATCTAAGGATCATTTCAAGAAATGTTGGTAAAAATCCTCCAGCAAGTTTCAGAGATGTTTTTTGCAGATTTCGCACTCAATGACCCTTCCTAGTCCTGCACCTCATCCCCTGGGGTTGATGTCAGCCCCCTCCTGATGAGTAGACATTTTCGTTACCCCTATAGGCTGATGATAATCACAAAGTTTTATAAAAAATCTGACAAATAGTTTCCGAGGAGAAGTTGAAAATGTGATTGTTTACGGTTCTGAACTCAGTGACCTCATATGGCCCAACCCCTCCACCACCTAAGGTGCCAACCCCTTCTTGAGTATGAATTCTGATCTTCATTATTTAAAGATCACTTCATGATATGTTGGTCAAAATCCACACATAAGTTTCAGAGGAGATGAGTGTTGTAGATTTTGCACTCATTGATCCTTTATAAGCCCCACCCCTCAGCCCCCTGGGGTGTCAACCCTATCTTGAGTATAAACTCTGATCCTCACCCAAGGCTGATGATTATCACCAAGTTTGACCAAAATTTACGGTTTCTGAGGAGAAGTCGAAAATGTAATTGTTTTCGAGCTCGAGTGACTCAGGTGACCTAAAAATTAATTACATTTGAAGATGAATGGTGAGCTTTCCAAATTACAATTCCTACATGGTCAGTCATTACCACATACATATAGATGACTTACATTGATGGTATGACCATACGGACAAACAATCCAGGCTGAACTCTCAACTTTGACCTCTAATGTTTGTTTGACATCACATCTGTGTTGTAGGCACATTCCTTCTAGTGGGGCGAAATCATTTCCCTACAAAGTATGAAATTGTATAATTACCAGTCGAAATCATTTCCCTACAAAGTATGAAATTGTATAATTATCAGGCGAAATCATTTCCCTACAAAGTATGAAATTGTATAATTACCAGGCGAAATCATTTCCCTACAAAGTATGAAATTGTATAATTATCAGTCGAAATCATTTCCCTACAAAGTATGAAATTGTATAATTATCAGTCGAAATCATTTCCCTACAAAGTATGAAATTGTATAATTACCAGTCGAAATCATTTCCCTACAAAGTATGAAATTGTATAATTACCAGGCGAAATCATTTCCCTACAAAGTATGAAATTGTATAATTACCAGGCGAAATCATTTCCCTACAAAGTATGAAATTGTATAATTACCAGGCGAAATCATTTCCCTACAAAGTATGAAATTGTATAATTACCAGGCGAAATCATTTCCCTACAAAGTATGAAATTGTATAATTATCAGTATCAAAACCACCATAACAAATTGCTTGGTGATGAGGGAAACAACACACTGTGTAGTCTGTCATATTAATGGATCCTTTTTCATGTGTAAAAAGATGAAACTTTCTCAACCATGACACTCAGTCCAAGCACTGATGAACTCAACAAGGTCACATAGTTCTTACAGTAACAAGATATCGAGCATCAAAACAACATAAGTCTATTACAAGCAGTATAGGGTACAGAAAACTAAAACCCTGCTTGTTGTAGTGGGTGGTTGGGTAGAGAAAACTTATGCCCTGATAGCTGTAGTGGGTGGTTGGATAGAGAAAACTAAAGCCCAGCTGGTTGTAGTTGGTGGTCAGATAGAGAGAACTAAAGCCCTGCTGGTTAAAGCCAGTGGTTGGGTAGTGAGAACTAATGCCCTGATGGTTGTAGTGGGTGGTTGGGTAGTGAGAACTAAAGCCCTGCTTGTTGTAGTGGGTGATTGGGTGATTGGGTGGTCTGTTAGGAAGGTTGAAGTGTGTGGCCTGAGAGGATGGTTGAAGTGTGTGGCCTGAGATGGTTGTAGGAGGTGGCCTGAGAGGATGGTTGTAGTTCGGGTCTGATAGGATGGTTGCAATAAATGGCTTGAGAGGATGGTTGTAGTGGATGGTCTGAGGTGGATGGTTGTAGTGGGTGGCCTAATAGTATGGTTGTAGTCAGTGTGGCATGCAATGGTGGTTGTAGTGGTTGGACTGATAGGATGGTTGTAGTTGATGGTCTGCAGGGTGGTTGTAGTGGGTAGACTGATAGGATGGTTGTAGTGGATGGTCTGATAGGATGGTAAAAGTGGGTAGCCTGAGGGGACGGTTGAAGTGGGTGGTGTGAAAGGATGGTTGTAGTGGGTGGTCTGAGGTGAATGGTTGTAGTAGGTGGCCTTAGAGGATGGTTGTAGTGGGTGTGGCCTGATATGATGGTTGTAGTGGATGCAGCCTGAGTGGATGGTTGCAATGGGTGGTCTAAGAGGATGGTTGTAGTTGGTGGTCTGTGAGGATGGTTGTAGTGGTTGGCCTGAGAAGAATGCTGGATCACAGAGCATATATCTATGAGTTAAGGTTTGATATTTGGAAGAAATAAGAAGGGTAACATTGACGACACCCATATTTGTGTCAAGCATCATGTTCAGTATTTGTTCATGTGTCTGATAAGTATCAATGTAAGTAAAAACAACTTACCGACATTGTGAGATTGGACATGAAACACAGACTTGACTGACTGTACTTCTCCAGACCAGATACCTTTGTGTTCGTAATAGGGAGAAAGCACTGGTCCTGAAATAAAGTAACAACGTAGAACATTAGATACTATCTCAACAGGAACCTGTTTGGTAAGGGGACAATGATGATGTCATACATGTAACAACCAAGGGGACATTGATAATCTCACAACACCCAAGGGGACATAGATAATCTCACTACACCCAAGGGGACATTGATAATCTCACTACACCCAAGGTGAAATTGATAATCTCACTACACCCAAGGTGACATTGATAATCTCACTACACCAAAGGAGACATTGATAATCTCACTACACTCAAGGTGACATTGATAATCTCACTACACCCAAGGGGACATTGATAATCTCACTACACCCAAGGGGACATTGATAATCTCACTACACCCAAGGGGACATTGATAATCTCACTACACCCAAGGGGACATTGATAATCTCACTACACCCAAGGGGACATTGATAATCTCACTACACCCAAGGGGACATTGATAATCTCACTACACCCAAGGGGACATTGATAATCTCACTACACCCAAGGGGACATTGATAATCTCACTACACCCAAGGGGACATTGATAATCTCACTACACCCAAGGGGACATTGATAATCTCACTACACCCAAGGGGACATTGATAATCTCACTACACCCAAGGGGACATTGATAATCTCACTACACCCAAGGGGACATTGATAATCTCACTACACCCAAGGGGACATTGATAATCTCACTACACCCAAGGGGACATTGATAATCTCACTACACCCAAGGGGACATTGATAATCTCACTACACCCAAGGGGACATTGATAATCTCACTACACCCAAGGGGACATTGATAATCTCACTACACCCAAGGGGACATTGATAATCTCACTACACCCAAGGGGACATTGATAATCTCACTACACCCAAGGGGACATTGATAATCTCACTACACCCAAGGGGACATTGATAATCTCACTACACCCAAGGGGACATTGATAATCTCACTACACCCAAGGGGACATTGATAATCTCACTACACCCAAGGGGACATTGATAATCTCACTACACCCAAGGGGACATTGATAATCTCACTACACCCAAGGGGACATTGATAATCTCACTACACCCAAGGGGACATTGATAATCTCACTACACCCAAGGGGACATTGATAATCTCACTACACCCAAGGGGACATTGATAATCTCACTACACCCAAGGGGACATTGATAATCTCACTACACCCAAGGGGACATTGATAATCTCACTACACCCAAGGGGACATTGATAATCTCACTACACCCAAGGGGACATTGATAATCTCACTACACCCAAGGGGACATTGATAATCTCACTACACCCAAGGGGACATTGATAATCTCACTACACCCAAGGGGACATTGATAATCTCACTACACCCAAGGGGACATTGATAATCTCACTACACCCAAGGGGACATTGATAATCTCACTACACCCAAGGGGACATTGATAATCTCACTACACCCAAGGGGACATTGATAATCTCACTACACCCAAGGGGACATTGATAATCTCACTACACCCAAGGGGACATTGATAATCTCACTACACCCAAGGGGACATTGATAATCTCACTACACCCAAGGGGACATTGATAATCTCACTACACCCAAGGGGACATTGATAATCTCACTACACCCAAGGGGACATTGATAATCTCACTACACCCAAGGGGACATTGATAATCTCACTACACCCAAGGGGACATTGATAATCTCACTACACCCAAGGGGACATTGATAATCTCACTACACCCAAGGGGACATTGATAATCTCACTACACCCAAGGGGACATTGATAATCTCACTACACCCAAGGGGACATTGATAATCTCACTACACCCAAGGGGACATTGATAATCTCACTACACCCAAGGGGACATTGATAATCTCACTACACCCAAGGGGACATTGATAATCTCACTACACCCAAGGGGACATTGATAATCTCACTACACCCAAGGGGACATTGATAATCTCACTACACCCAAGGGGACATTGCTAATCTCACAAAACCCAAGGGGACATTGATATTCTCACTACACCCAAGGGGACATTGATGATGTCACTACACCCAAGGGGACATTGCTAATCTCACTACACCCATGGAAACATTGATAATCTCACTACACCCAAGGAGACATTGATGATGTCACTACACCCAAGGGGACATTGATAATCTCACAACACCCAAGGGGACACAGATAATCTCACAACACCCAAGGGGACATAGATAATCTCACTTCACCCAAGGAGACATTGATAATCTCACTACACCCAAGGGGACATTGATAATCTCACTACACCCAAGGGGACATAGATAATCTCAC